TCTCTCTCTCTCTCTCTCTCTCTCTCTCTCTCTCTCTCTCTCTCTCTCTCTGTCTCTGCTGTCCTCATACTCATGGTTGTATAGTTTGTAAAGCTTGTAGGCCCTATTATGAGACCATTTGATCATCAACTTCTCTGGAGCAGTTTTTCGACCTTGCATGCAAAATATTTTAGTTCGATTACCACACGGGATAGACATTCTAAAGTGTCTGCGCCTTTCTGATTAAACCTGATAGTCAGAATAAAAACAGTCGTTCTTCCAGGTGACCTAAATTCAGTCGACAGGGGTCTAGACTTTCACAGTCTTTGGAACCAAGATAAAGCCTTGTATAGCGTCAAACGTTTTGCTCTTTAGCTATCAATTCTTTTTTGCAACGTTGTAGCTTTCTGTTTACATGAGTTACTCGTTTTGTTATGATGGTTTCTGATTCCTGTATTTGCTGCACGTTGTGGCTCTTGTTGTCCTGTATGGACACATTGTATGCCATTTCAAAGCTGTAAAGTTTCCTAACAAGAACATTAGGTTGAGAAAAAATATTCAAGGAAGGAGAAGAACAAATAATCCCGACCCGCTCGGAATCGAACTCTAAATTTCTGGGTGGTGTATATTACGTTCCCGCAGGGTTACAACTGTGTTTTGCCACATTAATTTACTTAGCTTCACAATTCCAGATCAATTTTATTTGTATGGAGTTGAAGAGTTTGTATTATTTGGTTCCTCGTAAACGCACGTTTGTTGGCTGGCTCTCTTTTATAGCCAGCTCAATCAATTCCTTTAAGTATTGCCATTATCCTAGCCTGTTTTTGACGAAATATAGCCACTATAGTATTGTATTTACTCGATGTTAACCTTTTTTTCTTTATCCATAGATCTGTGACAGACTGAAGACCACGCCCATAGGCACACTCACAGCCACGCCCACCTGCACTATGTCCATCTACCGACAACTGCGCCGAGGGCCCGTCACCGCCCGGGTGTCCAACCCTTACGGAATGTACTCGGAGGAGAGGCGGTGCGACACCATCTACGGTCGTCTGCGAGCTCGCAGGAGACGCCAGGAGGAAGGGGGGCCGCGTTGTTACCATGACAACAGACGCAGACGGTGCCGTCCTCATGAGAGGGATCTTGAGTTTGAGAAGGAAAGAATGAAAGAAGAAAACAGAGAGAAGATAGAAAAACTGGAAAAGGAACTCAAGGAGGAAGTGGGTAATGACGGAGCTATTCGCTTGAGCTGGATCGAATTCTGTAGACAATTATAGAAAAAGAACCATACTGATATATCGTCACGTCATCTTGAATCTCACACCACGTATAGATAATTAAGACCCTATAAAGTAAATAAGAAAACAAACTGTCTGCACACCATACGTACTTCTTGATGTTATTTGACTCTAAAATAAATCGATATTCTATTTTTGTTGTTGTTGTTGTTGTTGTTGTTGTTGTTGTTGTTGTTGTTGTTGTTGTTGTTGTTTGACATGTTTTCTTCTCTGAATTGATGAAGACTTGATGATTCCATCAAAGATTTTTAAAACTTGATTTTTAGCAGTTTGGTGACGCCTCGTGAATGCTAAAAATTTAAAGAGAGGGACATGAGAACCTGATATGATGATGATGGAGAGTCAAATAAAATATTTTTTAGAAAATATCTATGTTTGTGGTGTAATGTCTAGGCATTTAACTTTGGCCGGACGTCATGGGACGCTCATGCCTCATGTGATGATGTAGATGTTTCGCTGAGTATCTTCGTCCGTCTTTTGGGACGTGTCCTATTTTGTCCATTATAGCCTCGAAGGAAGTAGTATTCTAGAGATACCCGGTTGAAACATTGCACGTCATCAGAGAGGACTTAATGAGCAAATCGGAAGAAACAGACTCATCAGTGGTCCATTAAGCCTAAGCTGTATGAGCATTCTCAGTTAGTCCGAAGGCAGCTTTAAACAGACATTTCAACAAATCAACTTTACATAACATCGGTACTCGCACTAGTTACGGAAGCCGATAGATCTAGATTGGCACTCAGAAGACATAAAGATGACCCAAGATGATATATATATATAAATGTATGTTTCAGACAATTGTGCTCATTATTAAGAAAATTTGGTTCTGAAAGTAGCCCGCTGTCACTACACTTTAAATTGATTGACGTTGAGTACATTTTCTCTTTCACATTGTATGGCCGTCTTAGACAGTTTTGACTGAACTTTAAAACATATAAATTCATGTTTGCTGTTTTGTGTACAAGGTATTTGATCTACTGTCGGACATATTTACCCCCTACATCCTTTCAGAGTTAAGCTTGAAATTAAAGACCCGAGAACAACACAAAGGTCAAGTCGCATAATTTAGATGATTTTGAGAACATGAGCAAAAAAACCTAATTTTGTGAAATGCATACATGTAATCTACGTTCCGAATAGAGGAATTAAGTAGACTTTTCTGGACTTGACCTTGTTGCTGTATTTAGGCTTCGCATCTTTGAACAAGAATAACCGGGCGTAGGAATAGAATAGCGCTTCGTCAGCACTATTAATAGGTAGCCCTTTGTCGTCGCTTTCGATTGGTATGCAAAACTCTATTTTTAGAGAAATGTGACATAACCTGGTTGTTGTTCTCAGGTTTTCAATTATTTTGTCGCTTTTGTTTTCCGTGTAGAAAAACGTCGTGTGGAGGCTGAGCTGCTGGAGAAGCTGAAGAAGGAGGTGCTACTGGTGGAGTCGGTGGAGCAACACGTGGCTGAGAACACGGAGGATCACAGGACGGACCTCTACGACTGCACAGAGGACGACGAGGATCCACAGCTCGTGGTCCGGAGAGGTCAAGAGTTCAAGCTGACCATCACCTTCCAGAGGCCGTACGTTCCGGAGCAGGATGACATGCAGCTCATATTCAAATTGGGTGAGTGTCTATTAGTGTGACGTCACAGTAGCTTTAATTATTTTGTTGTAGTGACTATTTTCAGAAATATTAAATATAAATATGATATCCAAACCTCGTCAACTTGAAGCTTTGCTGATCAGATCTTAGTTGAACTGCTCCATAGTTTGATATTTATATAATAAGATAAGGTGTACCGTTCCTCCACGACTGAGGCTGGTGTTTTATGCCCCTCTTGACACAGATTAAATCATTTAATAGGCGGGCTTCGACACTGCCTTTCAGGGGCAACTTGGGCTGAGAGAGATGCAACGTCCCAACAGATAGACCGAGATACTCGATACAATTTCTTTCCTTTCGGGTGGCCTGTATGTGACAACGAAGCGCCAAAACGCTACTCCACAGACGCCAGGTATCTAACTATGATAAAAACCAGTACAATATCAAGTAACATTGCTCGAAACAACTAGTATCTAAATTTGATACTATCATTGAAGCATTGCTCTAACGATTAATGCCCATTATAGAAAGTGTCATAAAAGTATTGATCTAACTTTTTATATTTGGTACGATGATAGCAGTGTTGTTGTGGAGACTGACACCAAAGTATTGTAAACACTACTTCGAGGTCTGTCACAGAAATAAGTTTCCCTGTTCTGTAAAATGAACAATTACTGTTATCTTACAGACATGGAATTTTCGTACGTACCTGCAAAAACCTGATTTCTTTTTAACATAACAACATTTGATCTCAAAGCATCTATCCATCCAATGTAGCCAGAGGTCCAACGCAGTGACCACGTCTATCTCGGTCAGAGTCGTTAGTGAGACATTTGTTTCGAGCACAATTTTTCCTCGTCTTCTTTGATTTGAAGGAGGAAATGAAATTTCACCTGGATGTCACATATACTGTAACGTAATCCCATCTCCCTATCGCCCCCAGGTGAGGAGCCCAACACCAGAAAGGGGACCTACGCCGCGATAAAACTTAGAGAGGATGACAATACAAAGTATATGGTAAGTAACTCAATGTCAAAACAGAAATAAAGTAGGTTCGTAACATGAAGATACTATTTGACACCCCGAACGAGATTTCGTAATTTGCTGTCAAAGACGCTGAATTTTTCTTGAACAACGTTCCATGACAGATTGTATTGTTCCATGCTCTCATGTGTTGTTGATAATTTTATTTGATTGTGTTTGGTTCACAGGTTTTTTTTCGGACTTTAGCGCAAATTTAGCATTAAATGACAAGTGCCCCCCCCCCCGTCCCACCCCACCTCCATAC